AAACCCTAAACCCTAAAGCCTTGTATCACCAATCCTTCACAACCCTTCATCCCCGAAGGGCCCCAATCCCCGATGCAGCAAATCTGACAGTCCTAGGTTTTTGCTGGCTTAAGGGTTTAGGGGGGTTTAGGGTTTAGGGCCTGACTAGTGTTGGAGTGCTCAGACTTGTCGGATGAAGTGAGGGGTGACAAAAGTGCAGACAGCTCCTTCGACTTACTTTTGAACTCGTCTCCCATGCCTGAAAACCTAAAATCATAGATCTTTCCCTGCAACTTAATATCAACTCTTATAAAGTCAAGGCGCCCTCCAGCCCACATCCTGAACCCCAACATCCTCAAGCCCAAGCTGCGCATGCCCTAAACCCTTGCACGAGGAACTATGCGAATATCCGTGCTATAGGGGCCTCTTTTGGGGGGTTCCGTAGTATATTTATAGCCTAATTGGTTCCACAAAAACCCTATTCTAGTTATGAAGGCCCTTACATTCCCCTCAAACCCCCCAAAAAGCTCAAAGAAACTCTGTTCCTGCCAGGCCATCCGTGCTGTGAGGGACATCGCTGCCGGCGAGGACATCCGGCTCTGTGATTGCAGGAATTGGTTCAGGACTTACGGTTCAGGGCTCACTGGCTGAGCGCTTGGAGTTTAGGGGTCAGGATAGGGGGCTAAAGTATTACCAGCACGATCTTGAGATTTTTTTTATAATATTTAGTGTAGTATGCCAGGATAGGGGCCTAAATTATTACCAACCCGATCTTGAAGATTGTAATAATGAATAATCAGTGTAATATACTGCAAGACCTTATTCTAATTACTTAAAAACCTACGAAATCCTTCTAGGCCCCTTTAAAAGGAACCCTCGGAATAACCTTGGGGTAGTTCTCTAAACCAGGGTCTCCTTTTTTTGGTCCCCGGTATAGTACGGCACCCTTACAAAAGAACCCTTAACGGGACCCTAATTTAGATAACTACTTGTTGGTAATGGTTAGCTACCTTTTCCCCATACTCCCCACATATCCAGAACAGTTATACCTAAACCCCTAAACCCCTAAACCCTAAACCCTTAAACCCTAAACCCCTGAACCCTAAACCCCTAAACCCTAAACCCCTAAACCCTATACCCCTAAACCGTATAAGGTCCTTATGTTAGGGCGGCAGGTCGGAGCACTCAGGGTTTGGAACTCCTGGCGTTTAGGTTTGGGCGCCGAAGGGATGCTAGCGTTTCAAACTTAGGCTTTGGGGTGTAGGGTTTACGTTTTAGGGTTGAGGGTTTGGGCTTCAGGGTTTAGGGTTTAGGTTTTAGGGTTTAGGGTTTAGGCTTCAGGGTTTAGGATTTAGGTTTTAGGGTTTAGGTTTAAGCTAAGAGCCGCACGGTTTACCGCTCTCTTGGTTTGGGACTGGTCTGAGGCTTGTTGGGAGTTTCAGAAAATAAGGGGTACCTTACTGTGGGGTCCTTATAGTAAGGATCCTACTATTTAGGGTACTATATTAGGGTCCCCTATTTTCGGACACCCCCTGTTAGCTAGGGTCTTACATGTTTTCGGACGTAGAGTTGCTATCTTACGCAGCTTCTCATGTAAGGCCAAAAAGCATATACTTTAGGGTTCAGGGTTTAGGGTTTAGGGTTTAGGGTTTAGGGTTTAGGGTGCTATGATGTACAAGTGCATGTACCCCCAGGGTTACAGAAGCGAAATCTCAAGTAGTTCCCAAGCCCTGGCACAGTCCCTCAGCCACCGAGTCCAGAAATAAAAGAGGTGCGCCTGCAAACTCCCCCGAGGTTTGGATTTATGGCTACAGGGCTTGGGTTTTGGGGGTTGTTGGTTTAGGCTCTGCGAGATGTAGGGCGTCAAGTTCCTTTGTCCACTCCTTGCGAGGGAGTTTGCTGAGCCTTCCTGGTACCCTCGGCCCGTCAGCCCTAAACCCCTGAACCCCAAACCTCTAAACCCAAACCCCTATAAACCCTAAACCCTAACCTTAAACCCCACAAACCCCTAAGCCCCCAAACCCCTAAGCTCCAAAACCCCAAGCCCTAGGGCTTCAGATGCGGCCCCACTGTTGAGGGGTCAGAGTTTAGGGCAGGGCTGCGCTAAAGGATTTTGAGAAAACTTGGTGGGTTCAGGGTTCGTTTTAGGGTTTAGGTGGATTCAAGGTGTACTATAAGGTTTAGGGTTTAGGGTTTAGGGTCTAGGTGGGTTCAGGGTCGAGGGTGTACTATAATGGCCCTAAACCCTAAACCCTACTATAGGGGCCTTAATGTTTAGAATAGGGTCTTGGGTGTTATCGGACAAGAAGTCTGTTCTGGCAAACGAAACTACCCATAGGCCCCATAGTAATTCCTTTTTGGGGTTTATATTTATTTGAATTCTGTGAGGCAATCCCAAAAAGAAATTCTATGGGGCCTATGGGTATAGGGCTTGTGCCTCAACTGTGATGTTTTATCCGAAGCGGGTTTTGGGGTTTATAAAGCTGTAATTCTAATAAAAAGAAACCCCCAAAACCCTGTTCTAATCATTAAGGCAAATTAAGGCCCCTATATTCTACGGTTATTTCAGGGTTTAGGGCTCAAGGTTTAAAGCTTCAGAATGAGTGTATGGTTTGCGGCTTTAGGGTACAGCTCTCTTGAACATGCAGCGTCATTGCGAGTACGTTGCACTTTGGCAGGAGATCTGCTGCGATTACGGCTACGAAGGTGAACAAGAGGACGGCCCGGATCGGGTCGATAGAATCAACCCTGCTTCCTGTGCACTTGAAGTACTTGCGATAAAGCTGCAAAGGTCTTCCGTAAAAGAAAGGCTTTGCAGGAGTTCGGGGTGCGGGTTTCTTGAAAGCCTGAACCCTAAACTCCCGCACCCCTAAACCCAAAAGCTGAAGGGTGCCATGTTCGAGCGTGACTTCGTATTCCGAAGCCCGGGCTCCTCCAGGGAGAAGATTCTACGGTTTAGGGTTTAGGGTTTGGGGTTTAGGGTTTGGGGTTTAGGGTTTGGGGTTTAGGGTTTAGGGTCCTTGCTGGACCCCTTGTAAGGGTACTATAGGGTTCTAAGATGGGGTCCCCTTAAAGGGTGCAAAACGGTAGGGTTCTAAGATGGGGTCCCCTTTTAAGGGTACTATAGGGTTCTATGATGGGGTCCCCTGAAAGGGTGCAAAACTGTAGGGTTCTAAGATGAGGTCCCCTTTTAAGGGTACTGTAGGGTTCTATGACGGGGTCCCCTGAAAGGGTACAAAACTTTAGGGTTCTATGATGGGTCCCCTTTAGAGGCACCCTTAGCCCGATAAAGGAACCCCTTTAAGCGTGAATGGACCCCTTTGAAGGCCAAAGCCCTTCAGGTGCACCAAGTGATCTAGCCTTGCAGGTTCGCGGTTTCGGGGTTACGGTTTTCAGAGGTGTAGCGTAGGGGTTTAGGTTGCAGGTCGTTGGTTTAGGTCTACGTCTTAAGTGTAGGCTTTCCCGTTGTCTTGGCCAGTGCAAAATGTAAGTGGGTGTGGAGCCTTGAAGATCAACAACCCTACATCCTAAACCTCAAACCCTAAAGGCCCTAAACCCTGAAAGCAGCAGGTGTTCGAGTCGAGCTTCATATCTCCAACTCATGTGGCGTTACAGAATGTCGCTGTCTCATTCACATGTGAAGGGTTTCTGTTCAGACATGCTTCTGGGGCTACTTCCTAAGACAGGACCTCTGCAATGTAGGGCCCAGATCGTGGCTTTGCAGCAGTCGAGATGACTTGAGGAACAACTTCTAATGCTTGAAGGAATAGGCGAGTAGGAGGAATCATGGGAAGTTGCTGGCGGCAGCGTTTTTGCGATGACGATGTCGATAGGCGAAGCCCACTGACGAGGATCAGCATGATGATGGTGAAGATATGATGATGATTATGATGGGAGTCAGGATGAAGATGACGTCGAATGAGGATGACTGTGAGGAATGTGCTGGTCGTGAGGATACTGTTATGTTCTGACTATGCTGCTGATGATGGCTGTGTTGATGACGATGGTGATGACGATCATGATGTTGTTGTTGTAGATGCCGAGAGCAAGGAGGGTGAGCCGGCAGGAGGTTGGCACGTAGGAAACACCCCGTGCGTATTTCTTTCTATTTCTCAAGAGCTGTCGAAGCGCATTGATTGCTCGATCTGTCCTTGTGAGGAAGGGAGTCCGTTTGAACCTTTTACAAGCTCTTGCCTTGCAAGTGGAGTACACTAGTACACATACTACTACACATACATAATGTAGGTTGTCGTCACAGATCGTCTGTTTTGAAAGTTTCCCAGGCATGCGGGCATGCATGCATATGCATTGCAATATCTAGATGCGGCACAGCGAGCCATTCAAACAACAAACTTGGCCATTATAAAGCTATATAAGTACTTGTTATAGACCGTACCTCTGTGTACTTCGGCGTGTCTGTGCGCATCTTTGTTTTCTCAGAAGCGGGTGTTGTGCTTGTTCTGCATACGCTTGCGCTCTTCGGGTATAGTAGCAATACATGGTCACGATGTCGGCGACAGCGGTGAAAACGACAATGTCGATGACATTGGTGGCCACCATTACGACATCACACAGCAAGACTAACATCATAGTAACTTCAACATTGGCACCATCTCCAGCATCAGCCGCAGCAGCCGCGGCAATTCTTCCTATAAGCAGTAATGACCAGCTCAGGTTTCTATTCATTACGACATAGGCGGAATGACCGGTGCGTCTGTAGGTGGAAAGCCACTTCCTCAGTCCGCTCTGAGTTGCGACGTTCAGTTCAGCGCGCGGTGTTTGTCTGGAAAAGATCCGAGTTCATTTGTTGGGGTCCATCAGATCGGATGCTGTCGTGCTGAGCTTTTCGCAGTTTAGAACTCCATATTGTTTGGCAAGATTCTGGTGAGGCCCCGCGAGCAGGCCAAAATTCCGGAAGACGTTAACATTAAACTTCGCGAAAACCTTCCAGCACAATGCCCAAACTAAGCCCTTTAGGGTTTAAGGCTTCGGGTTTGCTAAGCCCTGATCCCGAAGCCCTGAACCAAAAAAAATTATAGTGCCCTATTATGGTACGATTATATTGTACCCTTACCATTATAGTACCCTGTTACAGTGCCCTTCAAACCCGGCCTTCGTGAGCCGAAGGACCTGCCGGGTTGGTATGTTGGAGACGCCGACTCACAGTCGGAAAGGAAAAAAAGTTGTCCCTCAAAGGGGTTCGCGACGGCCTTGATAGGGTTCAGGGTCCTTGTAAAGGGTCCATGAACGGGATTCCTTGATAGGGTGTAAGGTTTAGTTTATGAGGTTTGGGCTGGATGAGGGCTGGGTTTGGGTTACAAGCTTGACATAGGGTTCCTTGTTTTACATTCATTGTAGCAACCTTATTCCGGAGGTGGTGGCGTCTAAATGTTGCCGGAATTAGACATCGTAGAGTGCATTAGAGGGGCTTTCAGATATGATGTAGTTTGGCGTTTCGGGTTTAGGGCTTGGGGCTTGCAGTCTGACGGTTACCCGCCATGAGCAGTTTTGTTGTTGGTATCGGGCACTCTAGGCAGCACGGTACCGGACTAAGAGGCGAACAGTCCCGGAGGTTTTTCCGCCAGACCCCAAACCCTAAATTTCGACTTAAGCAAAGCACAGATGCGGGCCTGTAAAAACAACCTGAAAAACCCAAAAACCTGGACCCCCAAGCAGAGATATGATATAAGCCCATTGCGCAGTTAGGCTACACTTGCCGACCAGTCAGCCCGAGGAGCTGTGATAGCTGGGCTAAGCGTAGCTTTAAGGGTACCATAGGGTTCCAAAATAGGGTTCCCTCTAAAGGGTACAAATAGGTAGCGGTGTAAAGCTAAACCGTGATTCCTAGACATTGAAGAACTTTAACCCTGAAACCCAGATGTTCCAATGCCCTGGATCCCCCTGATAGAGCTCTTATGGAGCCCCTAAAGCCCCCAAATGATACTCCCCTTCTAGAACTCTTACTGCCCCCTTTATAGTACGCCACAGAACCTGTATGGGAACCCTGCACCCTAAACCCTAAACCCTATACCGCACAGTTCAAACCTAAGAGCCCATCCTTTTCTTCCTTCAGCGGTGTTGCGGCTCTGAAAGCAGCCATCAAAGGGTCCAGCGAAGCATACAGCGGAGGCCTCCTTCGCGGGTGAAATAGGGATTAACGTAGGGTTTAGGGAGTTCTTTGTTTTGAGCGGGGTGGTCTATGAGAATTTCAGTAAGACTTCTACCTGAAAGTTGTACATGGTTCTGTAAAGTTCAAAGCGAGTTCTTTCAGGGTTTCCCAAGGTTGCAAGAGGGTTACAATCTACAAGGTTTTGTGTGTTCTGGGTGCCAGTGCAAGTAATCATGGTTTAGAGTGTAGGCGTCGTTTAGGTTTGGTTTGAGGTTTAGACTTCGAGCTGGTCTGCATGATTGCTTCAAAGTTAAAGACTTGGGTTGGGGACACTAAATACATTCTTTATTTATTTTCCTAAGGGTCCATGTACCCAAATAGTATATAAATTGGCCCTAAAGTACCTATAATATAGGAACTACATCAAGGCCAACGTATCTTCTATTTGGGTACATGGACCGTTAGGGTATAATGTCTTTACCGAGTGCTGCTTGCTTTGGTTACTGAGAGCCGAAGGTTTTGCTTCAGCAGCGGAGATCGCAAGACCCTTTCATTAAGGAAGAGACCTTTAATGGTTTCTTCACGGGTACTTATAAGGGTTCTGCCACAGGGTTGTTTTATGGAGTATACCTTAAGTTCATGGTGGCTGAATATGATGATTTAAAGTAGATGTTCTTGATTAAGGGGTATGGGGTTTTCTGGGGAGAGCCTTGCAATACTAATCTTCCTCGAATTTTATTAGGGCCATGAGGCGGTTTAGGTCGTATTTTTCCAGTTCACGTCTAGTTAGTAGTACTAAGCTTCATCGGACTCTGTTAGGGTTTAGGGTTTTGGTTTTCAGGTCTAGGGCATAGGGTGTTTAGGTTATGTTTCGTTAGTAGAAGCATAGACTCTAGATGCTGAAGATATGGGAGTTTCCGAAAATAAGGGACCCTAATATAGTACCCTGAATAATAGGATCCTTATAATAAGGACCCCCAAATACGGTACCCCAATTTTCGGAAACTCCCATATGATGTGCTTCACTTTTCTGCTTTTCAGGAGTTGGGCGAGCAGATAGCACGGCAAGCTCCCAAGCATAAAGCCTTAACTTGTAATTCCATGAGCAAACCCTGAACCCTAAACCCGGTAGGAACCCTAAACCCTAAACCCAAAAACCCTAAACCCTAAACCCTGAACCCTAAACCCTATACCGGGAGCTTTGGTGTTTCAGATTTTCAGTGTGGAGGTCCAGCTATGCCGAAGCAGATCACCGAGATCCGCGCGCGTGGACCTATGAGCTATGCTGGTGCAAGATGTCTATGTGGGTAGTTGTCAAATCATGGTCCCTTTTGGGGTACCCTAAATAATAGGTGCCCCGTATTATAATAAGGACCCAAAAAGGGACCCGAATTTTGACAACCACCCATGTGACGATGGATGTGATTACAACGATGGTGGAGATGCAGGTCATAGTGATGGTTGAAGACCAACTCATAATGTTAATCTCCCTAAAGTTGCAGATGTATTCCTTAACTAAGCGATGGGGTATTGGGCTCTGTGAGCATGGTGCCGGCATTGTTGGGGACACTGCGATGCTGATGGACATGATTGTGTGGTTTTGTTGGT